TCATAGTTGTTATTCTATCTCCGTAAAATATACATGCGAATAATTCTCAAAAAAGTAAGCATTTTATTTCAATCAATTTAAGAAAGACTTCGGAAATCATTTGCGAATTGCAGGAAGTCAGATTCGTTTCAATGTTCAAGCAGCTGGTGATTTCAGATTTTATTTAATAACAATTATTTTATTTCGGTAATCTATTCTACATTTCACAAAGAAATATTTTTGACCTAATAGACCGAAAATTTAAAAAAAAAATAGTGGAAAACGAGAAATTATTTTATTTACTGTCCGTCACGGTGTTATTGTTTAAAAAATCGTTTCAAACAGCTATTAGCAGCAATTTTGTTTGCAATAATAGCCTTCAATAAAAAAAAGAAATAATAATAAAGTACGTTACTCACATTCAAATGCAGTTCATTAAAATGTCAGTTTTACCTCGGCAGTCTCTCTAATCCAGCATTCGCCAGTATTATCTTCCTTGGCGTAATAGGAGCCTGCTCTTTATTCCTTTCCTGTTGCCTCGATAAAACGGGGAGTTACAGTAAGCTAGCTCTTCTTTGGATTTGTACTGCGCATTGGCGCTTTTACTCCTCGTGCAATGTTTACCGGCCTGGGAATTTCATCACTGGAAGAACAATGGACTTTCGTACTCGTTCATACAAATTAGATGCTATCGTTGTGAAAGCCGCTTTAGATGGAGTCGTGAAGCCGTCTCTCTGTAGTCGGAGCGGCACTTTTTCTATAGTATCACAAAATTTGAGAGTCTCACCCCCTTTCTCGCTTGGTTCGTTTTCTTGTGAAAACTGTCAGAAAATGCCGGAGAAATTTGGGAGTGTGCTAAAGAGAAATATTAAAGATAATGAACGCCAAAAACGCGTTTAAACCCGGGTATCAACGTGTACCATACAGCTCAGGAGATTTTCGTGGGCTTATAACTTCATTGTTTCTGCAAACCCCGTCAAAAGTCGGCGGACATCCTTCAGGAGATAAAGTAATTGCCCAGCCGGCAAGGAATGGCAAGAGTAAAGAGTGGGGTGATAGAAGCGGGAACAAAGGTAGAAAATTGTAAGCAGGCACATCGAGGATGAATGGAAGCCACAAAGACAGCGAAATTGAATAGAGTTTGATGCAATTATTGGAAAGAGAGAGAGAGGGGAGAGAGAGAGTGGGGGAGAGAGAGAGAGAAACGTGATGAAAGAGGAAATGTGAGGCGGAAAATAGAAAATTGAGGATGAACTATCGTATGAAAGTAAGAGAAGTAAATCAACAAAAATAGATATGTGTCAGAAGCCAGCGATTAGCCCATAAGACAAATTGAACATTTGCAGTTAGGTCAGCAGGGAATGAGTAAGGAAACGAAAACAGAGACGTGGGGAGGCGTTTAGGCGTGAGTCCGTGAGTATGCGTGTCGAGAGATGGAGAAGATGAGAGTAGACTAAGATGAGTTGAAATAGGAGGGCGGGAACGTTCATATAGAGCTTGTTGGGGGAGCAAGGTCGGAGTGGGCAATTGGAGATGGGTGGGGATTCGGAAACAGATAAACAGGGAAGAGAGATGCGGAGAGCAGGTGCGAGAGGATGAGCGGTAAAGCGTGGGAGAGCGGCAAACCCCCGGCACTGCCCGTCCACGCTGCTCCTCCTCGTCCGATACGGAACACGAGGCTACGGAGAGGACGGGGAAGCAGGGCGGGGGAGCAGGGCGGGGATGCTTCGAAGAACGCGCCGGGTGCGCCTCTCTCTTGATCCCGGGACGAAAATTACATTACATATTGTCGGAGGCGCACAGCACAATGGAGTGAAGAATACTTTTGATGCACGGCTGGAAGCTCAAGCAAGATTACGGGGAGTAAAGAAAAGGGAATGTTTATATAAACATGAGGAACAAAAGAGGAATTGTGGCCGCTTTTCCCCCTCCGTGCTGTGGCCTGTGTTTTTGCCAGGCGTTCAGACGACGGACGCGGCTGGCCCACGCCCCGCCGCAGCTCGCGCCCCCGCCGTAGTCCCGCTCAACGCAACTCGTATCCCTCGCCACGACCTTCCGCCCAAGTCGCTCCTACCTGCTGCGCCCGGTGCCTGCCGCATTTTCTTGCCAGGATGCGGTAGTCGGCCTAAGATAGTTTCGCGCGTTGGGTGTAACTTTCTAAAAGCGCTATTGCTCGACACGAGTGGAAAGGGAAGATACATAAGGTTGGATTTAACCAATCTGCAACATAATCGTTTCTACTTGTGATACACTACGTACGAATGTTAAGCATTGCCCATCGGCTTGAAGGTCCGCTAAAAAAGAAGACTATAAAGTGGCCTTCCTTCGTTCTACCTTTCAAGAATACTTCTGACAATAGCGAAGATTAAACTCAAGGCATAATTTAGTGCCAGCGCAGCAAGATAATGCAGAAAAATAGTTGATTTGTAGAAAGCTTTTCATAATTTTGACCGAACGTCGTCATGCACGAAATTCTGTAACGTTACATTACCTACCTTTGATCTCAGAGTAAGAAATGGCAAATGAGAACCTTCATGTTAGCTGCAATAGGCTGCATGAAGGGGTTTTGGGGCAGTTATATGGTTCCGTTGTAGAAACGAGTGCTAACGAAGAGGACAAATATTTAGAAAAGTTTCAAATCATATTTAACACTTAAATTTAGATTAAAAATAATACTTTTTTCAATTTTTTCTACACCGGAGCTTGCAAAGCTCTCATCGCCGAAATATTGTGAAGTTTCTTAACAAGAAATGCAAGTGATTCTTTTTCCTGGTGGGATTTGAAATAGTGTCTCAGTGCTGACATTTAAGTACTGATTATTTCTTGACTCATCTTCGCGATGTGCTGTTTTCCAGTTATATAGAACAAGCATTAAGCAGCGTATTTTAGTGACTGCTGGCTGGCTAAAGTAACTATTTGTATCACTTACATCGCAAAGCCATGTAACAAATGTTTGTTTCTAATGCTATGCAATGTCTCTTAAAACACGAAATTTACTTGGTTATTTTTTTCTAGGGCTTTTATCCACCCGACGGCTGGTTACCGTGTACTTCCCGATGGGACTCATATTCGAGAAACTCACTTGCGGAATCCCCTGATTTGTAGTCAGCTGAACGCGAGGCCCTCCGCGGCAACGCATACATGAAAGACGAGGTACAAACCGGGACAAACCACCAGGTGCGACTTGAACACGCCACCCTTCGGACCAGAGTCGGTACCCGCTTCTAGCCATCTCCGCCATCCAGATCGGCACTTCGGTACTTTATTATATTAAAATGAAATACTAATATTGAGAAGTGTGTGGTGGCAATATTTTGTCGAAGAAACGCAATATACATCATATAATGAAAATAATAAAACTTGAGTAAAAGTAAAGTATTCCTACATGGAAACAATTTCAAAATGAAATGAAAACAAAATATCGGCAGACATCAATTCAAAAGATATGGAAGTGAATGAATATAATTGAATTGAGAAGAAAAGCTTTTTCACTAGAGGAGAAAATGTTTGTATTAAAAGACAATAAAATATCAAATAGTAAATACAAATATGTATTATAGACTTTTCATTTATTTAGAATATTTGTTTTGGTCAATAGTTGCATTTTGTTTTTTTAAAATTGAGAATAAATTATGTATTTCAAATTACAGTTTGCATGAAAAATGCAGTTTGCTTGCCCTTTATCATTTCACAAGTACGTTCAACTAAAATATTGTTTGAAAATCGATCTCGTGTTTAGTACATAACATAAAAAGGCCTCTAAACAGGTGATTCACGCACGAGTTGGGTTTGTCGTCCGAGCCTATCCGAAAACATTTAGTAGTCTAAAACAGCACATACTTTCTCGCCCGCACTTTCACGAACAAAATTCTCAAAGTTTCGGAAAATTGTACATGACCCTACTTCAAAATCTATCTTCAAAGAATAGATTTCATTGAGGGAAAAATCTCTATCTCCATAATAGTATTTTGAAAGAGTAGGATGGCGTTCGAAACATCAGAGTTTTCAACGAAAATGAGACCTGCACCATTCTCTTAAACGTTGGGTTGGGGCAATTTGTTTTCTAAGAGAAGTGTTGTCGAATCCTACAATTTAATTTATAGCGTGAAAAAATACTACAGTACGGCGCGTTCACATCAAAAGATGTGTTTAATGAGATAGTATCTCATTGAAGTATATGTTTGTTTAGGTAGTAAGTGCATTAATGGAAGTGAAAGAGATGATCTATGAGTGTCCCTATTGGAACAGAGATCAACGTGAAGTCTATTGTGTGACTACCGCCGTCCGAGAAGACTGTATCCCGATTTGAGCGACATTCGTACTCCAGAGCCCTTCTCTATGGGAGAAAAGTGTCGAGAATGTCACAAGCAATTGGTGGGAGCTCTTGAGAATAATTCCTTTCTATTCCGGACAGTCGCGAGATGCGCTGTGTAATTTCTGCGACGTCGCGTAGCAACGCGTCATCAGCAACGCACGTAACGACCTGCGAGTGTTCGGAATGCGACTCGTGCGGGAATCGAATGTCTGCCTTATCGGGCCTTTCCAACGAGCCTGTAATGCTTTTGGAAGATTCGGATCATGAAACCACTACTGTCATTTCAAATACTTTAATAAATGTTTGTAAGACAATTTTGGTGTGTCGTTAAATGTCCATGCACGTAATATATACCGTGTCCATTCCTGTGTATATTTCACATCTTCCACTTGTGTTCGTATTCTATTAAAGAAAAATAGCTGCCATGGCTTATTCTCTAAACGTTGCATATTTTAACACGTCGAAAGTGATAGATGTTTTCCCATGCTTAGCGATGTTGCACACACGCTTCATAATGTTTCGCACACTGTTAGACTGGAAGAAATAACTGTCACACCTGAAAATTATGCACGGGAAACTGTTTATAACGGACGTATTTGTAATATATAAATAATAAATAGATAAAATAAATAAATAATACTATGTAATCCTGTTTGTAAATAATTTATTTATATTCTTTAAAATATTTGTTTTGTTTTGTTACAGGTAGGACAAAACGACCATCATTAAACGCTGTTGCATGCCAAGAAGTGGAAATACGTACGGTGAGATTACTTATCATTATTTAGTTTTTTCTGGAATTCTGAGTTAGATTAATACTGAATTAGCAATTTCTTTATAATTTCTGAATTTGCTAAAAAGAGGGGGGATTTTTTCTCAGAATTGCAAATACTAAGTTTCTATCATGCGCATTAAAAATGATGTGGGCGATGACTACCAAAGTCAGGTGAGCTGTGTACTCTACACACACACACACACACACACACACACACACACACACACACACACACACAATCAAACAATAAAACTTAGGAATTAATTTGTAACATTAGATTGTTGATGATAGACGATGTGATTATGGAATACTAACTTAAATTCTATATTATAACTCCTTTAATAAAGGTACACTATTCGTTATTTTGTTACCCCTCCACCTCACCCCTTCAATGAAATTCCATATATTCAATCGGTTTTGAAACCATACATTCACCAGTAGTAGTGCACCATCGTTTGCAATTGTATACCTTTACTATCGCGAGATGGAAAGTGTTAACAAATATGCTGGAATTATAACGAGACAGTAATTTGTTATAATTTAATATCTCATTGAAGTATATGTTTGTTTAGGTATCAAGTATATTAATGAAAGTGAAATAACTAATATTTGCTTTAAATTAAATATCTACGGTGAGGCCTACAGCTCGAAAAGTAGAGCCCCGAACCAAACCTAGTCGCGCAAGCAAGCACTTTGAGATGCAGGCGAGTGCAGCAGTTCGGTCGTACGGTTAGGAAATCGAGGAACGCTTTGTGTAAAATTGGCGTTTCTTATAAAGTTACTTGGTTTTATATTTTTGAAATATTTGAGCACTTATATGAACCTTACATAGCTCTTACATTTCCTTAAGACCAACATAGCATCATTATTAATTTCATTGTAGACAATCACTACGGGGGGCCGGTGATGGTTCACTTTAACTAGTGGATGTATTATTCATCTTTTGGTACATTTCCACTGAAATTTAACTGCTGTATGCCTTCCTTCAGCAAATTGCATTCACAATGACATGAAAATTTTGATCGGTTAATCTGATACCTGTTAAAACCAAAAATAATTATTTTGGTGTTTATATAGGAAAAATAAATGCAAAGGCAAATACAGTAGTTTCTGAAGGATATTTGTTTAGAATGGAAGGGTTGATTTTTTATAGTTGTATGGTGAGGAAATATGATTTAACACTAAGAGACTTGGAAAAGCCAAGTGCGCTGATTTTGTTTTTATTTACTCTTTTATTAAAGATAGCGAAAAATTATTGTGAAGATATCAAGAAGGAAAATTTATGTATCTTTTGTAATATTATGCATTGCGTTTTTAATGATATTTAAAGCGTTGAAGAGAAAAATTTAAAAATTATCAGAGATTTCTTCGAATTACCAGAAACAATATTTTTGTACGTGTAAACCATGTGGTGACTAATCACGAATTATGTGAAATGATTATTGCAATACGGAGTACACATTTTTGTGGAATATAAATATCGGACGTGTTTGGTATCATGTTGAAGTACACGTAATAGCTGCAAGAGTACAGAGTAGAGACTCGTGCAAGCCATAAATGTTTTCACCGCGAGATTGTGGTATCATGCTCTTTTATAAACGTAAACTTATTTTAAACTATCATTAATACATCATCGTCGTCATCATCATCATCCGTCATCTCTATCATCAATACAAAAGGTAGCAATAGCAAACAACCACTGTAGTAATATTATTTTATTTTTGTATTATTATTTTTTGGATACAGAGTACAAAGCCACTTTACAGAAATTACTAAATGATATTTGGTACAGATGTATACAGTAACACAAAAAAATAAGATGAACGATGACCCCAACGGGGTTCTCAATGGGAAATTAGAGAGAAACGCTTTGGAGTTACAGCTGGTTATTTGTAAAATGTATGGGATTAAAGAATGTAAGATATGGATTAGATAGAAAGAGAGGTACTGGTGACGGAATGTGTCAGGGGAATATGGACGGGATGCGGTTTAGATGAGGGTTAAGTTTTTTTTCTAGATAGAATATTGTTTGGAAGGTGAGACTATGAAGCTTGTTGAATCTTTTGGAGAGGTGGGCTTTGTGAATTTGTGTATTTGAAATGTACCATGGGTCATCTAAAGCAGTGAGGAAGACTTTATTTTGTAGTATTTCAATGTGTTTTATTTTGGAAGCGGTTGCTTCGCTCCATTTAGGGGTTGCAAAGTGATTGCACTGTAGTCATCTGCCTAAGCAGACTTTTCCTCCCTATCAGCTCATAAACCTTACCAGCCATATCTGAGACAGTTGGATGGTCGGGTGATGGGATGATGGGATTCTTTTATATAATATGAATGGTGAAGTAATGGTGGAATGAAAAACAAGGTGAACGGGAGTACTCCCTTCCTCAATCCCCCTTTATCCACAAGAAGTTGCACGTATATAGACTGGGATTTGATGTCTGGCCGAAGAAAAGTGAGTACCTAAATGACAAAGCCTCCTTCCTCGCTTATTTTCGGTAACAGTACACGTCAATCATTATCACATTTATAAAGATACTCAAATGAAAAAAAAAATATCCAAATTGTATTGCATCTGAATTCGGCGTGCTTCCCCAAGCAGCCACAAGCTCTTGGCTATGGGATTTAATGGATGAGCGATCGTGGAGCGAAGTAAAATCATGAACGTATGAAAGCGTGTTTGAAGAAGTGAACTAGGTAAATGTAGAATGAGGTATGATGAATTGAACGGAAGTAAGTGTGATAATGTCAGAAAGAAGAACAGTAATTTAAATTCTTGTTCATGATTCATTTCTTTTCATGATACTATTCATTCAGAATGATAAGTAATTGTGCGAATAGGGAACAAAGTTTGGGCGAACGTACGGAATGGCTGAGATAGTGAGGGTAAATTGCGTTGTGCGAATTAGAGAGAGGGAGAATGTGTTTTTGGCAATCCCCCTTTACCTGTCCGCTCCAAGCTGAACGTTCCTGTTCGGAATTCCCTCTCGCTGCGGAACTGGAGACGAAAGTGTTTTGTGATACATGCTGACGCGTTTACCGCTCGTCTAATTTCGTCGTTAGAGTTCAGAAACTACCTATATGTTGCTGGAACTTCTCGAAGACCATTTCAACTAGTGAAGTAAAACGTTCGGTTGTTTACGGGCGAATGGAGGCGAGCTGGAGGAATATATGGTGACCTTAATTGTTTGCCATTTTCCTTGCACTCGACGAAGTGAAATCTGATTTCTCGAGGAAACGTTTCCTTGTTGCCATCGGAGAGAGTGTAAAGGTTTGAAAGTACATAAGTTCCTTATAACTTGCTTGGGAGGCTTGCTGGGAGCTCCATATGACTTGCTTGGGAGGTTTTTTATACGTATTAACTTAACTTTAAAGACACTTGATTTTCTTTCATAGTATTAACATTACTTAACCTAATATATAATTAAAACAAATTGCATATCAGACAAAATAAATGGTGTTGTTTATTCACACTGTGATATTTGTTAGTAATCTACTTTAAAAATACTTCAACGGTGCGCTAATTCATTTTTTACTCTTAAAAATAGATTGTAATTTAAAAAAAATATACTACCTGTTTTTTCTTAGATATCATGGATTAAATTAATTTACCTTTGTAATCTGCCATAATTCCTTGTTAATATACTTCTCTATATTGTCAGAAGTAATTATACGCAAAATGTAGGCAGATTTTCTCCAAAATCGAGTACATTATTTAAGAAACATTCATAACATATAAAATAGCAATTTTAGACATTCTTATTTTTCATTGTTTGCGAATGAAGATGTTTTATTTATAATATTGTGAATGAACCTTATTTTGTATGATTTTCAAAAATAAAAGTATTCACCAAAATGTTAATTCACTACAGATAGTTTTCCTTATTTATGAAATTATCTGTGGCGAATATTGAATTATTTATATTAATGAAATATTTTAATACTTTTTAGAAGCGTATAGATATATAGAAAAATAGAACAACTTTCTATATGTTTGCAGTATTTATGTAAATATGTTAATACCTCGTAAATTAAGCGCCAATGTGTGGGATAGAAAAACTAATACCGCTCTCATAATTTAATTTTAAAGCCTTTCTAGTCATTTTAGATGCTTTCTTTGTTTCAAAAACTTCAGGGTAAGACGACTAAATTGATAATCCAAAAGTAGTTTGGAACCGTGTGCAGGAATCTGTTGTTAACAATGGCGTATCATTGCTACTCCTACACACGAAAAACGAATGGAAACGGTCAGCGGAGGACCTGAGAATAAATTGCGGTATAATTAAAGGAAAAAATATAACTTTAGAAACAATTGTTTTAGTTGTATATGTATTACAACATTTTGCCAGTTCGTATATTATCAGTTTTTAAGGTACGGGAAGGTCTTCATCATTTTGATAAGTACGTGGCACATTTTAATGAAATGTTGCTTTTTCTTTTCACTTTAGAACAATCCCTTGTAGTGCAGACATTAAATTTATGTTATGACAAATAACATTATCCTTTTTTTATTTTTTAATTTTTCGACGATTTCGAATAAAATGTAATTTTTTTACTTATTTCCGTAATTTTTAAAGCCTTTTTTACTGAATTAATTCATTTTAATATGATTCTGATCGTATCAAATAATATTTACAACTTGCAACAAATGTTCTTCACATAATTCGTGAGTTGCCTATTCGATTTCTTCGCTCAGAAATCCTAATGTCAGCCGTTGTATGTTCCTGGTTCTAAGGTTCCTGCGACGCCTATCTGCGCCATTGTCGGTTCCGCCAATTTTTCGGTAACTAAAGACAAAGATTTCCTTGTGATGGACAGTCCAAACCAAAATTTTGCAAGCTGAGTTCACTTGAACGAAAGGAGGAATCCTCGATTAGATCAGTAACATATGCAACAGCTTGAATTGTTCACATGAATTGGTTTTGATGAATTTTGTTACGTCGTTTTCCTCACATTGAAGGACATTTTAAACACAATTTAAGGACATTATTT